CCTCCATTAAAGGCCATCAAAGATATCTTCTTCTGTACTATAGTAGAGTTATGTAAGGACTTGTGTTCTAAAGAAACCCCCTAAAATGACCATGGCATGTCTCAATTTCATAAAACATCCTATGAAGGGGTGCCTTAAGAAGACCCTAAAGAATACCTCCAACTCCATAGAAGACCTTGAGAAGGCCTTTTACCCAATAGAAGACCTTCTATAGAAGGCCTTGAGAAGGCCTTTTACCCAATAGAAGACATTGGGAAAGCCTTCTACTCAGTAGAAGTCCTTGGGTAGGCCTTCTAATCAGTAGAAGACCTTGGGTAGGCCTTCTACTCAATAGACTACCATAGGGAGGCCTTCTTCTCTATAGAAGTCCTCAAGAAGGTCTTCTGCTCTATAGAAGACCGCAAGAAGGTCTTTTACTCTACTCCATAGAAGATTTTAGGAAGGTCTTCTACTCCGCGGAAGAACTTAGGAAGGTTTTCTACTCTAGAGAAGACCTCAAGAAAGTCTTCTACTCTAGAGAAAACCCCAAGAAAGTCTTCCACTCTACAGAAGACCTCAAGAAGGTCTTCAACTCTACAGAAGACCTGAAGAAAGTCTTCTACTCTACAGAGGACCTCAAGAAGGTCTTCTACTCTACAGAAGACCTCTATATAAGACCTCAAAAAGGTATTCTACTCTATAGACACTCTCAGGTAGGTCTTCTATTCTAAAGAAGACATCAAGAAGGTCCTCTGCTCTATAGAAGATCTTATGACGGTCTTCTACTCTATAGAAGGCATTGAGAAGGTCTTCCACCCTATAGAAGACCGTAAGACGGTCTTATACTCTATGTTAGTCCATAAAAAGGTCCTCTTCTCAATAGAAGATATTTCAAATGTCAACTTCAATTGGATTTCTGTTGAACTTTTGTTCTCCTTGGCATTAATAAAGAACATAAGAAAAAAAGACTTTGGTTTATTGCAGTTTAGTATGGCAAATTGAACTTTCAACCTTATTCCTTTCAAAGAAGGCTCTTAGCGGGTCTTTTATGTAGTGGAAGATCCTTAACATGTATCTACTTCTATAGAGGTCTGGTATTCCAGGCAAGTTTTCTAAGGTATCTTCCACACTAGAGAAGGCCTTTAAGAGGTCATCTATTCTAGAGAAGATCTATGGAAGTCTGTCGAAAGGAGAGACCTTAGGCCTTATACAAAACCTTCTATCTCCAAAGGACCTTAAAAATAAAAATCCATAAATGTCTTCAGAAGGACATTTAACCACTGGCCCCCTTTATGTCAACTCTTCACTTGGCTTTCCGTTTGAACTTTTGTTCTCCTTGGCATTAACAAAGAAACAAAACAAAAAAGCTTCAGTTTATTGCAGCTCAGTATGGCAATTTGAACTTTTAACCTCATTCCACTGGCACCAATCCCAACATCAATTTGTTGTTCCTTTTTTTTGCAAAATTTATTCCGAATGTGTTTTATTTTATACAAATACAAAATTTGGCAAACACTTTTTCCAAAGGCTTTCCTCTCACTCGTTTTATAACATAGAGGAAAATTCAAACGCAATTGTGTTCCATTCAAGATGAGGTAGTTATGATTGTCGCCATTCCCAGTTCGAGACATTAAAAACCACAGGAAATGATTTCTTTTCACATACAAAAGATTGAAATCGAAAGCAGGGCAGTGCAAAGTTTTAATAGCTTCGGAAAAGACGCAGTTATTTTTCCAAAGATTTTCGCTACACACACATGCCGTGATTCTGGGTAATGACGATGAAAATTTGCCAAATGGAGGAGAACAACAACAACAATTCATTGTCTGCAACAATCGTCATTAAATCATTAGATTTGTTATCGTCTCGGTGGGTATGTTTACAGCAGCGAACAAATGAAATGAATTAAGGACACTTTTCTTACGATTTTTCCATAATTCGTTTTGTGACACCACCCGCTTGGACAGAAATGAAATGGTTCACATGGTTACCAACCAAAGCAAAGAAATGGTGTAGGGCACACATACACATACAGAACAAGTGCCGGGTGAGCCATTAAGGGTAACAGACCTAAAACAAACACACACACATGCATTTCATAACTGAATTTTATCGTGGAAAATGGTAAGAGTAGTTTGTTGCGTTTGTGGGTTTCCAATATAAATATGTCTGTTGTTTATTCGAAGGTTTGTTCTTTTATTTTCGGTATTTCTCAGGTTGTTGGTTGGTTGTTTTCGAAACATTTTTATTTTGTTGTTTATCTATTTGGCAAAATCTATGGCCAGCTCCATGTTAGGTGGTTTCGTCATTGTCATTTTCATTAAAGTAGCGGTGGTTGGTTGTTCATTTCGTTGGGTATTTTCCAACACCAACAATTTTATTTACCTGTTTATATGAATATTATTGTTGTTGTTGTTTTTATTTTGTTTATAGCCCATGATGAGCTTGTGCATTTTATGTTTTCGGTTCTGTGCCCTGTTTGTGGCTGTGCATAATTTTCTTTTTGGAACAGGTTTTCTTTTTGTTGTTTTTTTCGTACCGGAAAATGCGCCAAAATTTCCATTTTGAGTGCAGTTCATTTGAGACACCTTCTACTTTTTTTTGGCATTGTTTGCTCGCCTACAAGTGTGTGTGTTTGAGTGTGTGGGAAACAGGAAGTTGCCAATGTTGGATAAATTTCGTGAAAAATGTTCCTTGGGAAATTGTTAAAGAATTAGGTTTTCTTGGAAATTTTGCGGCGCGGCAAAACAAAACAGAAGTTGCTTGGAGTAGTAGATCATTTAAGGGATCGGAATTTGATGTCGGCGATGGTAAGCAGGGAATTTCAATATTTCCCAGGACATTTGGAATTTGTTACAATTTTCCCACAGGACAATTTGGATGAAATTTTTGTTGGGAAAATAATTGGGGATGATTTGGGACAGAATATATATTTAAAGAGTCGTCTTAAAAATGTATTCGATAATATAAATCAATAAAACCTCCTATTCCATAAAAGGCAACTTTAGAGTTTTTATTCTGTCGACTTTAAAGTTGTATCTTTTGTTCCCGACATTAGAAAAAAATCTTGTCTACTTCTACTCCAGATTTCGTTGATATTTTCGATTTTTAGAGATCTTCGGAGAGGGTTTAAAATATATAGGAGACCTCTTGTGGTCTTATTTCTATACAAGGCCCGACATAAATTAAACTTTCATAGAAATTGGTTTAACGTTTATTTTATTGTAAATAGTTTGGTTCACAACAATATAATTACCTCCCTAAAATCTGATCAGTTTTGTGATTTTTTACTCCCACTGAGTTTTTAAAATATCGAATTTCGGACACTTTTTTGGAAAATGTGGGTCAGCTTATTTCGAAGCATTAATATGTATTCCCTGAGGACCCAAAATACAACAAATCTGCCTCAGAGTTTGGAATGAAACTTTCGAAATCCAACCTATTACGAGATGTCACATAGTGAGCACATATTAAAATTTTGTCTGAAGACAGGAAAGGATAAATCCTCTGAACTCCTGAAAGACCAAAATGGCAACTATATGTGAAAAATCGGCATTTCAGAATTGAACAAGTAAAAAAACAATAAGTTCGTCCGGGCCGAACTTTTAATACCCTCCACCTTAGGGTAAAGGAAACATTAGAAACTATATTATGACCCACAATAACAAATTTTTAGACAAATCCGCGAAAAAATGTGGCAAAAATCATAAAAATACCGAATATCGGGAGTTGCCGTTATATGGGGCTATTAGAAAACGCGGACTTATACATACAATGTTTGGCCAACGGAACTAGACCCCATTATGGCCCCACAAATACAAATTTTTAGACAAATCTGCGAAAAAAAAATCATCAAAATATTGAATATCGGGAGGAAACGTTATATGGCGGCTATACCAAAACGTGGGCCGATATATCTCATTTTCAATACCAACCATCCTAGGTACAATACTAATTGTTGTATCAAATTTTGAAGCTCTACGTCAAATAATGTGGCCTGTATCGTTATTTCAAGGGACAGATATTGTTAGATCGACTCAGATTTTTATGCTGATCATGATTATATATGCTTTATATAATGCTTAAGTACTGAGGTGAACAAATAAGGATCTATATTGAAGCTAGAAACATTGTGAAACGGAATGCAAGGCATTTCAAAATCGATATCAGAACGTCGTTTAAAACCAGTACAAGAAGTTAGATGCAGTCTGTGGACTCCGATATCGAGACCTGATTAATCGTCAAGAAAGTACTTTTCATAATCCGTCTTCAAAAAGAGCTTGTCAAAGAAGTTCAGGTTTCACATTCGATCGACAGATCAAATATAAAAAATAGCTTTTTTTAAATCTCACAATTTATGGCTGCAATATTACAAGTCCTGCCTATAGCTGTACATATAAGAGTCAATGTTCGGTGAAGGCCGGTTGCATAAAAATCTAGGATGAATCTAAGGACGAAACAAACTTCAACAAATGTAGATCTAAAATATATTGCAGCTTAATTCACTTAATGCTTGGTTAATCTATTTTTTGCCAGCAGTTTCTTTTAGAATGTCTCCAGAAATCATGAAAAACAATTAGATAAAATAGAATCGATCTAAATTAGTGCTCATAATGGAGTTGACCCTGGAGTGCTAGAGAAAACTGATGCCATCGCCACCCAAAAAGAGACGGATTAATCAGCCTAAATTGTATTCCCCTACATTATGATCACATTTATCGATTTTGTTTTGGAAGTGTCTCATGTTGGACTTATTCTTGTCTTCGACTTTTAAAAAGTTGTATATAAATGACTGGAGCACATACAGCTTGACCTTATAGTCTTAAAAAGTACAAATAGTAACGGCAAATTAATAAAAAATTAATACTTCCCAACTCGCTGGTCAAAATTGTCAATTTGTTTTACATTTTAATTCCATTTAGTGCCCTCTCGTGATTAAAACTGAGTCATTTTTTGTAAATACAGCCCTAATTGTAAATTTCCACTCTCATCGGTCTCAAAAATCCTTGTCACTAACTTACCTGAACTTGATGATTAATAATTATAATCCACAACACTTTCAGCTAATCCAATAGAATAGTCTGAAATCCGCAAGGCAAATGTTGAAATTTCTATTAATTCGTTTTTTTTTCACTCGCGAACACTTGCAATGATTATTTCGAATTATTTTAAAAATCCGGCTTGTCCTTGCGTGTGTTTTATTTGCTCGCATACAATCCAATGAAGTAATGCCAAACGACTACTGTCACAGAGGCAGGCCGCTGGAAAACACCTGCTGGAAAGGATAACACCAGCCAGTAGTCAGCCAGCCAACTAGAGAGGACTTCGGCAGTGGCAACGATGTCCGGACTGATAATCGTCAACTAAATACGCGATTATAAAACGTGACCGGCTTTTTGGCAAAGAAATCTCCAATTTGCAAAAACAAAAAACCACGCACGGCAACAACACTTTCAATGAGAATGATAGAAATGAAAATCTCACTAACAAATGAGGAGATTTGCAAATAAGAGAGAGAGAGAGTCGTATTTTTGTTGTTTGTTTTTCTCCACACAGAGAGTTGGATTGCAGCACAACACGATGTTTCGTTTGTTTGTACTTTCTTTTGTTGTTATTATTTTTTTTCCTTTAGTTTTGTGGAGAATTGGTATTTGTTGGTTGGAGAGGGCTCAATGGCTCCCCATGCAGTTACCACCAAGAAGATGAATTACAAGAAAAATTCTCCAAAATAAGATTTCAAATGACAGAGACAGCACAAGCACTCACTCGCTGCTGTCAATGGAGATGATGTTTGAGCAATTGTTGTTTTAACTGTATTTGTTTGCTGTTGTTGTATGTTATTCTTTCGTTTGATATAATTTTTTGTTGCTTCGTTTTAATGATTTCTTGAATGGAAAGATGAAGACACCAAGTAAACAAATACACACACTTTATTTTTTATAATGCTTCTTCTTCTTCTTCCACTATTCTGCTTTTACGTTTGGTTGGTTTACGTTTATTTTGCCTTGGTGTTGGTTGATGTACACAAAATAGAAATGTAAAGAAAAAACACCAACAATTTTTTTGACAATTTCAATTAATTTTAACGTTGTTTATTGGGATTTGTTTTGGAGTTTTTGTTTCAACACAATTTTTTTAGCTTTTCTCGTTAAATATTTCTAATTTAATTTCATTTTAATTTTACATATTTCACTATTATTACACACACGCATATGAACATACACTCACACACATTTAGACACTGTTTAGGTTGGTTAGTTGTTGTTTCTTGGTTTTGGTTTTGTTGTTGTTCTTGCGATGGTTGGTCTGGTTTGTTGGTTGGTTGGTTCGTTGGCGTTACGTTTTGGTATGAATGAAGACGACAACGACGTCGACGGAACGGCAAAGAAATAATAAAGCAGGAGAAATAAATCGTAAATGGGAAAATCTCAAGAAACGTACCACCAAAAATATTCTCTATGAAATGATCGGGAAATTTTTGCACTTTGTTTTTTTTTTATTTCCAGAAAAAGAAATATATTCACGCTTTCAATGGTAGGTCTTGCAGTTTCACTTGTTTTTCTTTTTGTTATTTTATTGCCACACTTGCTGCCATAAAATATTTTTTCATTTCTTTTTGTGGCTGATACTGCTGCTGGCCAAAATATTTCATTCGTTTTATTTCGTCCGGTTGTTAGTTTTATTTCTTTTCTTTATTCCCGCACACACTGAGGTTTGTTTTTACCGTATTTCGCCAGAACATTAAATAGAAGGCACTTTTTTAATTCTATAATAGAATCGAATTAAATGTTTCTTAATTTTTTATTATTGATTTCATTCGGCCTTATTTTCACACAAAATTTGAGAAACTGTCATCCGTCCGTTGTGTACCCGTTCTCTCTCGTTCGTAAATTCTCACAATATGATGGCTGTGTGTGTCAAACAGAGCCACAAGCCGCAGTCGGTAAACAAATGGGATGAGCCGTCATCGATAACGGCGTTGTTCAATGAGACAGTTCTTGCCGCCGTATGGTTTCATGGTAACGGCTTGAAATAAATATTATTGTATTGAATTGTAAAATTTGGGATATTATTCAATTCATAGAAACAAAGTGTTTTAAAAGAAAATGCATTACAATATTTTAGAAATGAAGAAATAGAGAAATTTAAAAATAATTTTTTCAATGGGACCTGGGAGTGGACTATTGGTCTTTGAAAATATGAAATGAAAAATATGTCCTTTATAAAATTTTTGATCTGACATTTCTTTGCTTAATAAAAGTTTTCATTTCACAGAACAAGAATTGAGGCCCTGTTTGTAATAAATCGGTCGTTCAAAAATCGAATTTTTACTAATAACTGCACATCATTTTAGATAAATTGACAAAAAATCAGAGGAACACGAATAGTTCCAAACGTACAACTTAATGTGGTGAAAATGAGATAATAGCCAAGTTCTCTAAAAAATGGCATGTTTATTTCAACTCTCTTTCTGTTTTAGAAACTTAGGATTGAATCCCACATTTATTTTTTGTGAGAAATTAAATTTCATAAATAAGCCGTCTTAGTATTGCCGCCGTCAATTTCTTATTGCATGCCTCGGTTGTACAAATTAAAATGTCTCTCTCTCTCTTCTCATTCCTCTCCCAAAACAGTTGTTTGCGGAAACATGGCGACTGATGATTACCGACTACTTCAAATAAAATACCTGAACGGATTACTTCATTTGGATGCCGTAACGTATGTCGTATGACTATTTACCGTTACCAAACTATTGGAATGAAGTGTTGTAAGTTTGACAGAAGAAAGGCATGTGGCCGTAGTACCATGGTAGAAGGATATAGGTAGACGCGTCGACACAGCTGCTGGGACAATGAAGTGTCAAACCAATTTTGGAATTGAAAATGTTGAATGAAAAATTATTTAAATTTTGTAAAAATTGTCGAAAAACTCGTATTATAATAGCCTCCGTATGACGTAGTATAAGAAAACATATAAAAATCCACTTATATTTGAAAAAACATTTAAATTTTTTTGACATATCAATGCTCCCAAGCGTTGATGCATCTACCTGTATTCTTCTGCCATGCGTAGTACATAATCCAAAAATACTGGGGGAAAACTTGAATAGATTTATAACTCCAATGTTACCAAACCCATTTGTTAACGAAAAGCGAAAGCTTAACATAAAGCCCCCAAATCACTATCTGAGTTTCATGATGAAGATTTAAGCCAACATAGAACAACTAATATAGAAATTTGCAAGCATTTCGAGGTGCGAGTGGTGTCTAAACTTTCACTAGGCTGTTTCTGCTGCGGAAATATACACCTCACTCATCAGGAGTTCATGTCTGCTCTTGAGGAAGGTTAACCCCCGAAAAAAATTCAAAATCAACATCCTTTCCCAAACGCATTTATTTCACCCCATTTATGATCTTCTCAACAGCCGGTCACTTTGAAGGATCTTGGAATAACAATCGCCTTTCAAAATAGAATTTCGTTTGAATACTATTTCGACCGATCTTTTTATACCCAAATATCTTCAATTTTGCACCTCTCATTTAAGAATCTAAACACAAGACAACTTAGGGCCACATTAAAACTCTAAATAAGAGGTTTAGAGTTCAACAATTATTTGTTTAAAACATTATAGGTATTTATAAAAATATAAAACATGTTTTCTTTTTTTGTTATACATATCTAAAATTGTTATTTCTTCAATGCATTTTTTAGCTAACCTTTAACATAGTACAAAATTTATTATTCAAATCAATAAACTCATCTTCACCCTCTCCAGTACTGCTCAACATATCGGCATAGGGATCAACTGCTTCCACTTCCTGTGCAGCTTTCTTCCTTTCCAATTGACGTTTCTTTTTCATGATTTTCTTATTGACTGTTTTCAAAGTTTCCTGCCCCGATGTACGTTTCCATGTGGGTATAAACTGTTCACACCATTGCCATAGATATGTATAGAAATCAAACATCATTTGGGAATCTTTAAAAATAAAATTACGAACATAATATTCAATATCTAAACGATTGCGGAACAAGTCGTAAAGGTTATATAGGAAGGTGCCACAATATAGTTGGCACATTTGTGGTGCCTGATAGGGAAATTCTAGCAATGCATTCAGTGAGTGCAATTGGAAGACAACAGATTGCAATTCGGCAAAGGCATGTAGGACCGTACTCGAGAAAAGATCATATTTCTTTTTGAATAACTCTTGCATGTGGAAGTGTTTTAGAAGTTCATTTTGCACCAAATAACAATCGGATTTTTGTATGAATTGTATGCGTTCCGGTATGGGCAGTTCTTTCAAATCATCCCGTATAGTTCGTTTTATACCCTCGGCAGCTTCTTTGTCTCGCACCTGTCTTTCTTTCTTCAATATTTTACCAAAACGTTTATTGAATGTTTTAATATCTCGCTCGGGAGGAATTTTCGAATCAATGGTTCTTAACACCACCAGGCATACTAGCAAAGCATGCAGGTGAATTAAATCGCAGTGTTGTGACTTGTGCATCCAGTAGACAATTGCCAAGAAATATAAACGCAAATCTTCGGGTAATTTTTCAATTTCTTTAAACAGTAGTTCCCTTTGCAGCTCTGGCATTTTGTGTTCGAATACAGTTTGCAATAACAATGGATTGGGTTTATCCGGCTCAAATTCATATTTTGGTTTCTCCTTGATTTCCACCGTAATGTATTGGATATTGGTGACTCGTGTGGCTCGTGTCAGATATGTGTAATACAAATGTCGTATGCTACCATCTTCATTGACTCTTTCCACAAATTCTTCACCTTTGACATTGTTTAGCAGGGAGTATGTTAAGCTCAATATTGGCACAGCAATGTCATTGCAATCCTGATAGGGATAATGTTCAATTTGTGGATTATTTATATATTTACGTAGATGCATTAGATCCACGAAAAATCTTGGTAATTTGGCGGGATAGAGTTTATCTAGGAACCATTGAGGAAATTTGGAAATTATATCATTTGGATCATCGCCCTCTTCGTCGTCTTCATCATCCTCGCTTTCTGATGCCGCCTCAGAATCCTCTGATTTTTCTTCGGTGGCCTCAACAATTTCCGACGCTTCTCCTTCGTCATTATCTGGGGCTGCAGTAATTTCTTTGTCATCATCGTCTTCCTCGATTTCTTCTTCCTCTTCGGTAATCTCATCTTCATCGTCCTCTAATTCATAACAAGAATCCTGATCACTGTCATCATCTTCCACCCCGTCCATAAAGTCCTCAAAGACATTTTCATAATGTTGTTTAAAAAACTCATAGGAACGACATTGTTCATTGGAGTAACCACTTACAGCAGCTTCCACTTGGGCCATCAAAGATTCTCTTTGATTCTAAAAAGGAAATCGCCAAATAAAGGAATAACCAAATAATTTTTTTTCTAATTTCACAATCTTACCTTCTTTAGTCTTGACATAATTTTATTCATGGCTGATTCTCCAGTCTCATCTTTAAGCCATTTCAATATGAGCCTTATGCGTCGTTGCTGATGATTTGGCTTACGACCTCGTCCCACTTTAACCATGCCAGACAAATAGAAATTCCTAAATGCCGATCGTGATATATAGTCATTACCCAGCAAGGCGGCAAACAAAGGTAGCTTTTCCTTACTCAGGGACCCACGGGCAATTAAATTCTCCACGCGATACATACAACAATCCAAATATTTATAGGTTTTCCCTTTATATTGCTTTTTCTCTTTGTTATCGACAACAATGGTGTCCATTACACGATTATTTTTTGTACGCTTATCCAATTTCTTGGCTTCAGTTTTTCGCAATTTTCTTTCGGAATCCTCCGTACCATTGTCCTTTTCCTTCTCCTTGTAGGTTTTTGTATGGGCCTTAACGGTCAATGTAATCAAAGGTATATAACGTACATTGTGTATATAGAAATCGGAATCATAACTCAGCACGGGGCAATTGAGCTTTCTTCCCAGAGCAGCCAGCTCATCGTCAGCCTCAAAGACACAACGCATAACGGGGACATTACAATCCCTTACAGCATCCACAAAAACCTCCTTCATCATTAGAGGGAAAACCGTAATGGAAGCATTGGGATTAATGCGCTTTATTACACAAATTTTGCCGCGCATACGTTTTCCCACTGTACGCAATTTACGTTGTTCGTAACCACCATCCATCAACACATATGCCTTGATGTTGCATTCAGCCAGCACCACAAAAAAGTTAACCACAGCCCTGTAGAATTCATCATAGTCACCACCAAATGCGGAGTTAATTCCTGATGCATCTTTGTACAAATTACACGCCAAGTTATCACCATCTATGACCAAATTGGTATCGTGCAGTTCGTATGGAGTCAAATATTTCTCAGCATTGCGGGCTATGAAGCCAGTTAGACCACGAACTCCCATTTTCTTGTGAATTTAATTTTTTTTTAAAGAAGACTATTATGCTTTATCCATAATCCCACGTAGAGTTTAAGTTGTGAAGTCCCAGGAACTATACAAAACGTGCCAGCAGTTTCGAATGGAGGAAGTGGCAAATCGCCGAAAACATTACGAATGGGAAGAGACAATATTAAGATATGATTGTTATGAATATAAATGCAAAGTAAAATGGGTAAATGAAACAGAGTTGCCAGATGACTGTATATGTTACCATGCCACTTTATTGTTTATCTTATGCCATGTTCTCATGGGCATTTGCGGAAAGCTGTTTTCTCTGAAAAGCATGTTTGTGAACGAAAACATGGAAACAAAGGTATGGATATATGCAGAGAACAAAAAAGGGAAAGCAGAGCTACCAGCTGATTAATTGTTTCTGAGTTTGCGCGACTTCTGTCTATTTTGTGTATCATCAATCAAAATCAATGATTGAAAGATTAAAAATTTTGGAGAATATTTTTGCTAGGAGATCGAGGCATTTCATTAATTTTTCGCGCTATATAAATAAAAATATGAAATCAATGTAAGCATTATATGTCAATTATACAAAACAAAGCATACAATTCGGAAATTTAATGTTTGAAGATTATTTCAAATGTCGACCGCAACTGCGCCTCAAATTGTCCATCCTTGAACTAAACGGATTTTAGCATGTTCTTCCCAACATTGCGGCCAATGTCTCTCAATGTTGTCTTCCAATGCGCCAATTGAAGTGGACTCTTCTGTATAGGCATAAAAGAAAAAGTAATCTAAAGTCGTTAAAATTAAAAGATAACAGCTAAAAATCACGCATTATAAGTACAAAAACCTTTGCCATCGAAAAATAACTAAAATATAGCAGCACAACCCAGCTAATTTGACTGCACAGTAAAACTAGTATAAAATTCGATTATTATATAACAACGATAGTGCTGAAACCTTATTTACGGTATAAAAACAGGGACCCCGCATTGTGTGTAGTGGAATTTTCCATATTTTCTAAAATTGTAAAATGAAGTACATCTTACGTAGGTATGTATTTTGAAAGGCATTAGGACGGTTTCCTAGCCGTTCCTTGTACCTACAGCTGACAACTATAAATTGAGAGAAAGGATATGAAAGCATTACTATTAAGCATTTTAGAAATATTGGTTGTGCATTGTGAATTTAATAACTCAATTACCATGGCAGAAGAATACAGGTAGATGCATCAACGCTTGGGAGCATAGATATGTCAAAAAAATTTAAATGTTTTTTCAAATATAAGTATATTTTTATATGTTTTCTTATACTACGTCATTCGGAGGCTATTATAATTCGCGTTTTTCAACAATTTTTACAAATTTAAATAATTTTTCATTCAACATTTTCAATTCCAAAATTAGTTTGACAGTTCATTATCCCAGCAGCTGTGTCGACGCGTCTACCTATATTCTTCTACCATGTCAATTACCAAAATTTACATTTTTGAAATTAAAATTATATATTGAAAATCTATGGTATGTTTACACTAGTTTTAAGCACAAAAACAAATTTATATGTGATTGTTGCTTCGTTTGTTTTACAACCTATATTAGTTTACAATGGTTCTGATTGTTCCTTTTGCGGAGTGGTTCATTTAAAGCGGTTCTTTCCGAAATGACACAACTCTATTCAAAAGTCGATTGACATATCCCTGGTTTCTTTTGTTTTGCTTACGAACGTCCAAGACTAAAGTGTTTTCTTTATTTTAACAATTTAACGAATAAAAAATAACCAAATTCTTCTAAAAATATGTTTAAAACACTGCCAAAGAAGCAGGATTTGTGAATATATTCAATTTAAATCGAAAGCGAAAGGTGAACAAAGAAATAAAGACAGCTTTTGTATTGTGTGTAGTTTTTTTTTCATTGTCGTCGTTGTCGTTGTTGTTTTCGATGATGACATTTCAAACATTTTTCAAAGGGTGCTAAGAGAATGTAAACATAGTGGCACACAATTAGAGAGAAATGTACAGAGAGAACAAGGTGCATGTGAAAAAGAGTAATAAATACAGGAAGGATTTGAAAATTAGAGTTGCCGTTGAAAGAAACGTTTTAAAATGTTTAAAAAATAAATCGTGTTGTATGCTATGATACAATACTTCGATTATAACTTTTTATTTAAAGTGTTAAAGTTAAAAGTTAAAAGGATAGCAAATAACATTAATATTATATTTGCATTGCTTTGAAATTGAATTGAGTATATATGCAAAATATGCATATATTTTTTAATCCATTTGGAATTGCGTATTAAACATTGTTGTTGTTTTTTTAATCTATAGACTAATATTAGATAAGTAAGAAAAAATATATTAATAATTTGATTTGGTGTGAGAAGATATGATGACGTCACGAATATGAGTTAAGGATAATTTGTAAATTATGGTAATTTACACCATTATCGAAATGTTAAGACTCTTAAATGGAATTAATAAAATAGTTGGGTTAGATTTTTTATGTCCTTCGCCTTTGGAATAAACCAAATATTTCGATGATTGGGTTATGCTACTTGGGTAAGAAACAGCTGTAGATTCACAACAGAATAGTCGCAATTATTAAATAAAAGAGTTGGAGGTACTATCAAGACTTACCATCAACAGATGCTTCTTAGTTGCTGATCATAGATTCCGAAAGTAGCACAGCACTTCTGAGCATATTAGTAGGGTGTTCTACCAGATCAGGTGGTTCAGTGGAACGTTTAATACATCAAATATTTTGCAAGGCTGTTTCAAGATGTCTAACGGCGAGTTCCCCATCGTCATGGCTTCGACTTCTCTTTTAGATATTTTGTCTAGATTTTGCTCTCGATTCAATCCACACTAGCAAGAAATAGAAAAAAAGCATTGGTCTCTAGGACATTGTTCCTGAAGTATCATATATTTCCTAACGACAATATTAAACGGAAAAGGTTCCACACTTTGTAATAATAGATATATTTAAAAGTATATTTCGTCTTCTGTGTTTTTTTATCTGCCACTACAAGGCGTGGCACAATTTGTTGTCTTATAAATAACGTCTTCATTTCATTACAGATTTACCCAGTTGGTGTACCATTGATGTAAAAATAATCTCGTTGTTTGGAGCGTCTGGCGAATACGGAAACACTGGTTGTGGTAAGTTACATCCTCATGTACCTTACAATATTCCAAAAATTATTCTATAAATTTATTTCAATTTAATTTCAGTGAGAACTTTCAAACACATTGGCTTTTAATAGCATTGCATCCCTTTGGTCCGCTGGCTGTTCATTTCTGTTGGACAATACCAGCTGTTGGGCTATTGGACTGCTGGAAACTCTTGCTGTTGCCGCTGCAGTCCTTGTAATAATTCATATAGTGGCTTCATTACCGTGGTTGGGACAACATCCTGTTGAGCTCTATCGCCAAAGTCCCCGTATCTATTATCTGCGTTTGAAGTGCATTGCAAACATCGATCGATTCATTGATTTGTACACCAATGTATCACGTAAAATGGATAGTGTTTTTGAAGCATACTTAGGTCCGGACGGCGTCTTGGCAGGGGCGGTGGTGGGTGCAGTCGCGGGAGCAACAGGGGAACCTGATGATATACCAAATGTTAATACCACAGTTTGGATATTGGGTAAAAGTTACAATGCCATACAAGAATTGGAATTGATACGTCGAGATGTCCAATCGCGTTTGTGGTGTACATATCGTCGGGGATTTGTCCCTCTGGGGGAGCCGCAATTGACCACCGATAAAGGTTGGGGCTGTACATTGCGTTGTGGCCAAATGGTCTTGGCTCAGGCATTGATTGACTTACATTTGGGACGTGATTGGTTTTGGACACCGGAAACCCGAGATCAAACCTATTTGAAAATAGTCAATCGTTTTGAGGACTCGAGGAAAAGTTTTTTCTCCATACATCAAATTGCCTTAATGGGAGATTCAGAGGATAAAAAAGTGGGTCAGTGGTTTGGTCCAAATACTGTGGCACAGGTTTTGAAGTGAGTAGAAAATCGTTGCCTTGAGATTGCCTTTTAATAAAAAGTGTTAATATCTTACAGGAAACTAGTACGTTATGATGATTGGTGTAGCCTAATGATTCATGTGGCAATGGACATGTCAATTGTCTCGGATGACATCAGTATGTTTGTGGTTTATTTATTCTAACTGTATCGAAGTATGCAAATCTAATGATTTCCATTTTTTATTTTTTACAGTGTCCCTTTGTCTAGAGAATCCCCAAAATGACGAATCCTGGAAACCATTACTTCTTATTATCCCCTTGCGCCTGGGTCTAAGCGATATAAATCCCATTTATATACCAGCACTAAAGAAATGTTTTGAATTGGTTGGTTTCTGTGGCATGATTGGTGGCCGTCCAAATCAGGCATTGTATTTTATGGGTTATGTGGACGATGAGGTGTTGTTTTTGGATCCACACACAACACAAAGATGCGGTTCGGTGGGACAAAAAACCTCACAAGATGAAATTGAGTTTGATGCAACATTTCATCAGAAATATGCTGGACGAATACCGTTTACACATATGGATCCGTCGTTGGCAGTGGTAAGTTTTGGAGAAAGTGAAGTTAATGGAGCCATTTAATGATTTGGATTCCAAAGATATACTAATTAGAATGGATTGGTAAATTTAGTCTATCTTGGCATAAAATTTGTAAATTTGAAATTAACTCGAATCGCCCTGGTGTTGTCATGGGGCAATAAAATAAAATTGCAAACATTGAAGATTTCCTTTTACAACTTCACCTATTATAAAATTATTAAAATACTCAGGGCGATACGAGTTATACACTCCTTCCCTAATCATAGTAATTTTTTTCTTTCCTTTTTTCAGTGTTTCCTTTGTAAAACGCGTATTTCGTTCGACATACTGCTGGAGGATTTGAAAACAAAAGTTCTAACAGCAAGTACTCAGCCATTATTTGAAATTGTTAAAACGAGATCCCCCGAATGGGTATCAAGTATGCCAGGTACTACCACCACAACTACTACTACTATGCCTTACAATCTTACATCTTCAACTACCACAAATCTTAATACAAGTAAAACATATCAATATCCCAGTATAAATACTACAACAAATAACAACTTTAACGGAGATCAAATAATGCAAATTAGCGATCCTTGTTATAACTCTTTTGAAGATTTCTCAAATTCTTGTGAAATGAATTCGAGTTCGTTGCAAACATTTCAGACAATTGGTTACAACACCAACAGCAACTCTGATGACTTGACAAGTTATAGTTCGACCACAACGCGAACTATAAGTTGTGGGGATACAGAAGGTTTTTGTTGAACATTTTTTTTAATTTTGTTTTTTAAATTCATTTGATATTCGATTTTAATACTATCATCAATAATAAAAATGTTTCTTAATTCATTTTACAGATTTCGAAAAACTGAATCACACTTCAGAGGAGTTAAGGCCACGTAACTGCTGTGATGAATACACTGGTTCCGATGATGATTTTGAATTTATTTCATAGTTTTAAAATACAACATGTGTCTTTTTTTACAAAAATTGCTAACTACAATATTTGTATTTATGGTTTTTACAAAAAGAAACGAAATGAGAATTGTTTTTTTAGAGTGGTAGCAAGTCCAGGAAATAAGAACTGCAAACAGATGTCTTAATTTTTGTTTTTAATTTCTCAAATGGATTTGCATGGAGTACCCTCCTGCAGCAATTTAGTAATATTTAGTGGTAAACAAAATTCATTTATATTTAGTCTCAATTTATTTTTTCCCCTTTTTTGTATAAACAAATAAATAATATTAAACTTAAGAATCTAGTGTGTTGTGTTAAAAAAAAAAAAAGAAATCCACATCTAGAACGTGATATCTGCAGGCAAAACGTTTTTGTTGTTTTTCTTACATTATCAATTGCTTCATTAAACTTTGTCCATTGTACATGTGTTTGTTTAACATATTAGCATGAACAGTTTTTTTATTACTGCCCTGATTTTAACAGTTTTTTAATGAATTGTTATGCCATAGTACCAAACCATTTGAAACCACCATAAAATGAACAATGCTTTTATCTTTGAAAATATCGAAAGTAAACACACCCTTTTGCCGGCCTTTCAATAAAAAATAAATATTCCTACAAATTGCTTTATAAGTTGACAGTGAGCATTCAGCCAATATGTATTGACCACTGAATAGATTACGGTTTTTTTTTTTGTAACTTCTAGTACTAATTAATATTAATTTCATATAATTTGTTCATATTTTCTATTGTTTAATAAAAAAAAAAATCAAGAAAATGGAGTTAGTCATATATGAGTTATAGGGTTATAACAGATGGAGTTTCATAAAACTTTAGTATTTAAATTAGATTGTTATATTTTTTTCTTTTCTACAACTGCAAGTTTTTACTACCATAACCGATTTTCCCTTTATCGGCCAGGGGTTTTAAGTATTTTTTAAATTATTTGGAGGTTTATCGGAACTAAAATTGTGAATTTAATAGGAATACTTTAAAGGTATATAAGATATTTTTTTTTAATATTTTTTCAGTTGTATTATATTTTCAGTCGTGGATTTTATAGAATAATTTGTCAAGGTCTGCCAGGAGATCCATAATTCTGGATTTTTAAGAATATTTCTCCAAGGTTGACCGCGATTTACAATTCATTACAATTCTAATCAAAAGTTAAAGATTATTTTTTCAAGTTGTATTACGAATTTGAAAATTATATCCTGAGAAGGCCTATCAGATATTTTGAGAGTATTTTTTGAAATTCTATTAGGTCTTGAAGATTCATAATTCTGGATTTTTTAAAAAAAATTTCCAAGGTTGATCACAATTTAAAAAAATTAATTAAAGGGCCTTAATCGTAAATTTTAAAGATTATTTTTTCAAGTTTTATCATGATTTTGAAAATTATATCTTGAGAAGGCCTATCAGATTTGAAAATCTATTTGATCTTAAAATTTAATTTTTTAAGTATAGTTTATTAATGTTTAGCAGGTTTGAAATCGGGCATTTCTTCATAGCTGATATTGATATGTGGATTTTTAAGAGTTGCTTTTCAATGTCTATCATGATTTTGGAAATGTTCGGATGATGTTTTCGGCAATATTGCAGATAACAATATGAGCAATATTTTAGTCGAAAATTTGTAACACTCAGGTAAGACAAAAAGTGGCCTTTTTGGTCCTTTTTTGAAAATATGGATAAAAACTCCCCTTTAGCGGGATCATAATTTTACCGAATGAAAGCAAAAAATGTCGGAAATAGCATCAACTATTAGAATAAGTTTAGATTTGTTTGAATTGGTCAAGTTTGGCACGACTTATTGCCTTCCAACCGCCAATAAGACCGTCACATCCTGCCCGAATGTTGCTCTGCCGTATTTTGACCCATTCCCGGCGAAGCGCTTGTTTGAGGTGTTCGACACTTTGGTATTTTTTAGTGCCAACCTTGCATTCCAATATACTCCTGACATAATAGTCCAACGGATTGGTATCCGGAGATTTTGGTGGCCATTGTGCGCAGGAAATGAAGCGAGGAACCTCATTTTGTAAGCATTCTTGGGTGGTCTGCGGCCAAAATGGTTGCGTGTCCAAGGCTTTAATATACCCCCCAGAATATTTGGCGATTATATTCGGCATTTATTCTGATAATACGAGCGGATAGCTGTTATGGCGGCCCACACCATCACCATGGCCGGCGTTTGAGTTCTGGTGGCCAACCGAAGGTGCACATTTTCAGCTGACCTCTTTGGCAAGTAAACACGATCATTTTGTTTGTTTTCAAACTGCTGGACAACGAATGTTTACTCATCGCAGAAAACCAAATTCCGCAGTTCACCAATTTCGGCCAAACGAAGCAAATCTTTAGCTCTTGAGTCTATTTTCCTTCTGTTGTGGTGTAAGTTCTTGCACTTTTTTGAAATTTCAATTACTTTACCCCGAGCTCATTTTTTAATATTTGCCGAATGGAATATTGTGATATGTTCAGCTCACGAGCCATTTTTCGGCCACTGCGACGCGAGTTTCGATCAAGTAGCTTCTTTACTTTTCGAACCATTTCTGCTGGTGTTGCTGTTTTCTTCCGTCCACTTCCTTGACGTCGGGCTACGCTACCAGCATCACGGTAACGAGCGACGGTACGAGACACAAAAGATTTATTCACAATTAAATGCTGGAGTGCTCTAACGACAGCCACTTGTGGTTTTCCAGCCAAATAAAAAGGTATCTGTTGGAGTCTTTGGTTAAGATATTGAAGTGGTTTTGTAAATGTGCCCTATATTTGTAAAAAAACTTCTTAATAATACTAAAACTGGTGTTGGCTGAAGGATATTTAAATGGTTTTGGAAAAAATGAGTTGTCACTGGAATAATTTTAACAAGTGTCGGACGAGTGGCTTAGAAAAGACAGCAGTCTGAAATTTGTTGCAGTTTTTTCATCTCTGATTTCTCTCAGACAGTGATCTGATGTAAATATGGAATACATCCTCCACAAAAGATAAAAATGTTGATTAACAATTATTCAAATAAAATTGGAAATAAATGTTCGATTTTCTTTAAATTTTGCAAATCCCAATATTTTTATTTATCCCTATCCTGAAGACTTTGGCGATTTATTCAGAACTATTTCAAAACCCTACATTTTTAATCCAATACATTTCAGTTTTTCAACTTCTTTTTCGAAGGCTCAATTTGCATGCTTTGTTGTACCACCTAGGATTTTAAACTAACGAACTACTGGTTGGGCTGTAAATAAAACAAAAATGGGACAGTGGTTTAGAATTTGCATTAAAAATAATGGATTTTAAATAAAAACTAAGTGTATAATAATGTTGAAATATTAGCCACTGTCATATGGGCCATGGCATAGACCACTTTTTTTTTGGTTTGTCTCAGCAACATGGAAATAATGTTTAATTGCAAATAAAATAAAACTTTGCATTAACTATGACCACTTCGACTAGGACTGGTCGTTTGCTTGGTGGCCAGACAAAGTGTGACCACACCTAAATGTTATGACCACCTTGACTTTACTTTCATTTTGGTTTATGCTGGTTATGGTGGTGGAGTTGCTGGTGGCCTAAACAAGAAACCAATTGTGTTTTGTATTTGCTGCCGCTTTCGTAGTCATTCAATAACAACTATTTATTTTTTAATATTAATTATTAAAATATATAGTAAAAGGTTTTGGGTGGTACATAAATCATATGCAATTAAAATAGAAAATGTTAATAATGGTGATAAAATATTAGAAGTTTTGAGACATTGTAGAAACAAACAGTTGACAAAAATCTTTCATTTTAATATAGACAAAAAAATAAAAATTTTAATTGAATAACGTTTTGAAGTTGTTTACTGTTCTTAATCTTCATTGCTTCGATGTTATTATAAAAGCTTACAAAAATATATCAGTTCAACTCAACAAAGTTCACCAGCACAACAATAGCTTGGGTCAATCACCACCCACTTGCTTGTTCTCCTTGACATTGCACCACTCATTTTATTTTTCAAATATTAAGGGATTTCCAATTACCCGGATCACGAAAAAAAAAACAAAATCATATATCATTATTTCCAAATTTCAAAAGATTTCTTTAACATCCGCTACTTATTTCAGAATTTCTTTATTAAATTGTAATTAATCAATTTCGAAATTTGTTAATAGCTCAATCTCCTGCTTAACAGGAAGTTTTTTGGAGTATTTATCTGGGGAGAAAAATGCTACAATTTAACAAAACTAATAATTGAATATTAGAGTAACAAAGCTACCACTTCGTAACACAGCATAGCAAAGTGACATATCAAAAAATTGGGTTTAATTTCAATATCATTAGCAGGATTGTTATTGTTGTTGGAACAAATCTGAAAATATCATTATTCTGCAAAAACGGAATATACAATAAAAGATAAAAAACTGGTTCGATTGGTTCGGAGTGAAGTATTGGTGAAGTTGTTTAGAGTGTTTGACAAACATTGTTTGTCAGATAGGTGATCATCAAACATTTGATAGACAATATTAGAAACATATCATTTTATATATCCCGATAGTCCTAGAAGAGATTTCGTTAATTTTTTTTTTAAATTTTTCCGATTTTTTAAATACTTTTTGAAATTAAATCAAACTTGTGGTTGAAAAAAATTGTTTTTAGATCATTTAAAACATTTTATTAAAATATTTTTTAATTCTTTTTCAAGTGAAGTTCTTTATTTCTATGAAACAGAGGTTTAATTAAATTGGACTCTATGAAATTGTTAACTATATTAAAAATGTTGTTTAAAGCTCTGTCTGATTAATGTTTATGTTTTCTCAGATTTGAAAGTATTTTTTAAAATACTATCAGTTCGTGGATTAAAAAAATATTTTTTTGAAATCATATAAAGCTGAAGATTTTAGGAAAAATATTTTTAAAAATTCATCAGATCATAGATTTTATTAAAAATATTTTTTTAAGTCTTGTCAGATGAAATTTTGTCATAAAATTGTTTATATAAATATAATATTATCTCCCTCAGCCTACATCTGGTGGCTGAACATAGTCTGTGTGGGTCCACGTTTTACTATAGCACCCATATAATGGTACTTTCGGATATTCAGTATTTTGAGGATTTTAGGCACAATGTAGTTCGAAATTGGTTCTAGTTTCAGTGGCAAGACACTGTATACATAAAGGGTGAGATAAAAAAAACTGCAATGAAGTCAAACTCATTAATTTTTACATTTTTTTTTTAATTTTTATTGAATGAAAGCAAAAAATGTCGGGAATAGCATAAATTTTTTGAATAAGTTCAGATTTGTTCGAATTGGTCACCTTTG